CCAATTCCCTCTGTCATTGGCACCCGAGACCTTCCTTTATTCCTGGTTTGGTTGATCTTGAGCTAACTGCAAGGCCAGCAGTTGGAAACCACCAGTCACTCCATGGGGCAAAGATGGGGCTACTACTCCCATAAAGAGTTATAGTCTCAGAAACTCACAAGTGCAGTTCTACCCTGTCCTGTAAGGTCACTACATCAATTCTATGACAGTGAGTTTGGGGTGTTGTTGCTTTTTTTAACTTTGGTATGTACTTTTCCAAGTCTGCTCATTGTATCAGCATTTCTATGTGTTTGAAGCAGGACACAGGTTTCTCCAGGTCTGCTCCTTCACTCCTATTGGCCACGACTGTCATGGGCTTCTTGTTGGTTTAACATCACAGCACTTACCCCTGTCATTAGAAGTTGCCTCTCACTGTCAGCACCAGGGGCTGGATGCTCTACAGCCCACCAATCACAGAGCTGGCTTCCCAGTGCTGCCCTCTGGATGCCTCCCAGGCGTCACTGGTGTGAAACATGCTGCGGGATCATCCAGGTACTCAGATGTCTTTCCTTGGGGATACATCTCTAGAAATGATGCATCTGGCTAAATAGGCAGCCACGTGGGAGTCCTGCTGGGGCCTGCTGAAACTGGCCTGCTGGCCTGAGTGCTGTGCGGCAGAGAGGCCTCAACACCATGCCTCCCCGCATCGCTCACACAGAGGCAGTAACTAGGACCAGACCATGTGCCCGGAAATCCATCCATAAACAATAAAGTTCAAACATAGTCCTAAGAAGCCAATGGCCTGGCCTAGCCAACCCCTTGCTTATAGAGAACAATCCAGAAGGACTTGGTTGTTAATCGTCTCTAGGAGGCAGCCCCAACAATATCATTCAATGGTTTTCTCCATTCACATCCTGCACCCACCCTGCTCCACGGCCTCTCAGGGGAAGTGCGTCCAGACGGAGGGAACAGTCCCCGCTCTCCGGCTCCCCAGCCTTTCACTCAACTGGGGTTCCATGTTCAAATAGAGGAATGGGACTTTCTCTTTCTGGAATCTTCTGCATATTCCACACTGAGCTTCTGATGCTTTCGAAACGAAAGTGGAGGCTTTCTACTCCCGCACGAGCAACGGTCTCGGAAACCCACGAGGGCATTTCCACCCGTCTGCCAGGTCACCGTGAGTCAGAATTAACCCCGTGGCAGGGAGTTTGAAGTTTCATCTGTGTGTGTGGGGATGCATTTATTACTGTTGGGTGTCCTCAAGGGAATTCCAACTCATCGAGACTTTAAGCACATTTCCTCGCCCTGATGTTCCTCTTTCTCGCGGACACGCAGCTTTCCTGAGCCTGATGTCCTCCTTCTTCAGGGATGGGTCGGTCCCTCCGGGTAACATGTCCTGTGGATGCAGATATGTATACAGGTATTCATATAGGAGGGGGGCCTTGAAAATAGAAAAATGGAATAAAGAGATCATGGAAATTTCTTTACCCAATTCACAATTAAAATTTATTTATTTGTTTATTTATGTGTTTGTTTGTTTGTTTATTTAAAATAATGGAATTTTCCCACAAACCTTTTGAGGCGTCATCTGATAGATGTGTGTGTGTGTCCTGGTGGAGTGGTGGTTACATGTTGGGCTGGGACCCACATGGTCAGCAGTTGGAAACCACCAGCAGTTCCGAGGGAGCAAGACTGGACTTTCTACTCCATTCAACAGTCACAGTCTCCAAAACCCACAGCATTGACTTGATGGCAGTGTGTTTGGTTTTCGGTGCGTGTGTGTGTGTGTGTGTGTGTGTGTGTGTGTGTGTGTGTG